AAAATAAGTCAATAAAAAGTGTTTCAAATTGTTACAGACATATTTTAACGATTCTGGGGGGGGGGGGGGGGGGTTAATATTTATTTTCAATAAATAAATAATTCAATAAACGAAATGACAGATTACTTTAATATTTAGCCCATGCAGGCGACTTCAGGAAGCTTCAAATTATTGCAGATATACAAGCCTCAAGAGACTTTGAGGGAGGGGGCGTGGCTCTAGCCCTGAAACAGCAGCGAGCACGTGGACTTGTTTACGAGCTCGCGATTACTCGCTACTCTCTGTGGCCTCGTGTGCGATTAGAACTAAGCCCATTCATTATTCCTCAAAGCACGTTACTTGCCTCCATTGGAACGTTATAGTTTTAGTTTTGTTTATAAAGCAAGAGAATAGAAGCAGGGGGTGGAAAGATCAGGTTACACACCATCAGCTGCTGTCCATGACACGCACGCACGTGACTGACTTGTGTACATGATCTGGTGCATGTGTCGGTCCAAAGGGACTCCCACAGAGCTACATTTTTGTTTTTTTGTTTTTTATGGGGGTTTGTTTTAATGCCAGTATTTTCCTTTTCTTGTTATCCCTTACCAAAAAGTAGTATCCTTCAAGTTTATTTTATTAAGTATACTTAAGTAAAGTTTACTTTATGTAGCAAGAATACAAATATCAGTGTACTAGTAGTATACTCATTTGGCCAAACAAACAGTGAGATAAGGAGATATGCATTTATTGAAGTGAAGCCACAAAACTTTAGTTGTACTGCATTTTTCTAAACTGCATCTCGCTCCGGTTCTTGTATTATTTTATTATATATTATTTATATATTATACATCTGTTTAACGTTCAGGTGTATTCACCTGAGTTTGAGAGTAATCTTCTGTTTCTACAATTTTCTCAATTGCTTTGCCTCAGTGTGGGTATTTTTCTACCACTCAACACAAAATGAATAATGTAGCAGATAGTCAACCTAAGTATTGACAAAACCACAAAGAATGAATGAATGAATGAATGAAGGAATGAAGGGATGAAGGAAGGAAAGAAGGAAGGAATTGTCAATACAGAAATCTTACAGAGATGTCAAACAGTGTTTTGCATTTGTATTAATAAATGAAGGAAATTGTAATAATTATAAATATATATTTAATATATTATAAATATAATAAATATAAATAATTTAAAGAACTAAAAAAATTAAAAAAAGTATACTTTCCTATTTTTTTGTTTAAAAGAAGTATACTAATAGCACACTTGAATAAACTTTTTTTTTCGTAAGGGATATCAGGTTATGTTGATCATTTTTGATTAAAATAAACCAAATTCCCACATAGTACACATATACTGTATTTCAGCTAGTCCCAGAAAAAAGGGGGGAAATGCATGTGTGTTGGATGAAGCCATTGCATGGATCCATCCAAATGCATTTTAAAATCCTAAGTGTCCTGCAGCCATTGGCACAAGTCAGGGTATTACCAGCAATTAGATTAACATGCTGTCAAACACTGTTATCTGTTCACATCCATTTCCTCTGTTCTGTTAGTGTCAAGACTTGTGTAATCATCCTGCTGTATTGGCTCTATAAAAGCACTATGTCAAAGCATCACAAGTGAAGCGTATATTAAAAGAAAACTGGCTATGAGAAATGCCCCAGAGAATTTCAAGCAACAGTTTCCCATTTTCATCTCTGGCTGTACAAAAGTTAATCATAAAATTAAATTCTACAGGCAATTCATACTGTAATGTATTTGCACTGTAACTCCAATCAAATTAGTTGAGTTTACCATTAGACAGTTTACACATTGTGTAATGGTCATATTGCTGTTGTTTCCCTGTGGGGAGAGTATAAAGCTGCACGTTGTCTGGAAATAATGTGTGTTTGCATAATGGATGGATGTGTACGTGTTTGCCACCATAACTACTAATGGGTTCTTCATAAACAGTGGTTACTCTTTTGATTGCCAAGGTGTTTATGCTTATGTATATGTGCATGTGATGTCAGTATGGCAGAGAGTTAATTATAAACTATTTTGTTTAGTTCATAGGTATGTTGTTTGGAATGCAGAAGGATAGCTTGATTCGGTGAGTAAAACAGGACCAAGACTGTGTATCTGAGAATATCTAAGAAGGTGATTTATGGGTGCTAAATGCATTGGAGTCAATACAGATTTTACTATGTTACAGACCAAACACAAGCAGCATGTGAACATACTTGTATAGTCTTTATCCCCTTCTTAATTATCCATTTATTCACTATGAACATCAACTAATTTTACTCAATTTTCTGGACCACACAATTTCATTCAGACATGGGGGCTTTCCCCACCCTTCGTCTTTAAGCTGTAGTGGTTCAACATCTTCTTCAACCCACCATCATTATTCAGGCAGTGTACAGGTTATGACATACACCACTGGTTTATTGTCCTGGAAAGACAGGCCTGTCTGATATCTGGGGAATCCCAATAATTTCCCATTTGAGTACTGCCCCAGAGAAAAATCTCTGAAAACAAGTCCTTTTATCTAATGCAAATTTGATAAAATACTCATTAAGAATATGAAGAAGACAGTGGGCCTCATTTAAGAAACGAACGTACGACAGAAAATTGGGCGTACGGTCGTTTCAACGCAAAACGTGGAATTTATCAATATGGACGTGAGCGGTGGCTACGATCAAATCTCACGTCTGGTCTCAGCGCGTGTATGCAAGTTTCTGAGTTACCTGATCTTGCGCAGAGCATAGTAAATACGGTGGAGAATTGTAGATTGACAGCATTTTGTTCATTTTTATATTTCTGACCGTCAAACGAAGCTCATTAGTCGATCGCTAATCAGTAAGATTAGAATCGCTGCGTCCGAAATCGCATACTGCTTAGTAGGTACTACATTTAAATTTGAACGTACTACCCGACCGTTAAAACAGTACGTTCTATATAGTATATAATATAAGGCATATATAGCAAAAATCTTTTCTTTATAGTTAATTTCTGTCAAGCTATGGACTTACTTGAGGTAAATGTAATGCTATGTGATATTCTTTACAAGCTTTCATATCAACATGCGATCATTCGTACGATGAGATTCAGATTGGCGGCATACGAATGTTTCATAAATCACACGTGAACTCTGTCGTAAGTTGATTTGTGCGCACAGATCTGCGCTCGTTTCTACTTTAGATTGATAAATGAGGCCCAGTATTTTCCACATACTGTACATTATTGTTTCTCCTGAAACGCATCGATTTTTACAAAGCTCATCGGTCTGAAAAAGCGAGGTGTGCTCTGATTGGCCAGCTATCCAGTGCGTTGTGATTGGCCGAATTCCTCAAGCGTGTGACGGAAATGTTCCGTCCCTTACCATATTGTGATGCCTGCAGCAACCACATGTGACGACCCCGGGCTGGACTCCACGGTGAAAGCTGATCCGACGATCCACAGCGCAAAGTTGAAGCATTTCCTCAGCGACCAGCACAGATCAGGCATGACGAAGTGATATCGTCCTCTTTTGGAAGGCCAAACAAAGTAGTTTCGCTTTCACAACGAAGCACACAGTGCCTTCACGACATGGCGGTGGCGGCAACAACAATACTACAGCGAGAATAAAAGTTACGCCTTCTTTCTTTGCGTGAACATTTGTGCGGCGTTTTTCAAATCTTCCCAGATAGTGAGGTAGATATGTGGGGGCATGTTAGAACGAGCCGTTTTAGGTAGGTGTGGTTGACTCTTAACATTTATAAAGAATATCTCTTTGGATTTGAGACTTTAGTCTTTGCAACTTTACAGATCTTCTTTATGCACCAAGAGCTTGTAACACTCCAAAGAGAAAGGAAAAATTGAAATCGCATCATATGACCCCTTTAACTGGTTTAAGGGGAAAATCATGCACAAGTCTGTGCCCGATTTTTTTTGGTAAAGCTTCCACCTAAACAGAGTGTTCTCTTAGCAACACTACATTAAATGGCTTTAATTGACTCGTTTCATATTCATTTTGCAAATATTTCAGAAACAGGCCCTGGGACAGAGGCAGGGGAAATTGCAGTTCCGGCACAGTGTGTTCTCTGCTCACTGACATGGATTATTGCATAACGCAGTGCCCTTGCCTTTTCCCTCCAGTCACTGTGATCTAACAGAGGTCCTGCTGTCCTTGCGCTTCATTGTGTGAGTACAAATACGGGATCATTTGTTTGTCAGGTGTTTCATCTCCCCCTGTGCATGCATGAGTCAGCACATATTTTGATTTCTGAAATGGTCTTAACGTAAGTCTAGTTATTGTCCTGCATAACCTACATAAACATCTCGTATGTTATAATGTATATGTGCATAAGTACATGTTGATAAACTAGTCTTGATAATAGACTTAAAACCTTGAGTAAAATATGATATTATCAAAATTCTAAAAGATGGTTGCAAAGAATAACTTTAAGCTAAACTAGCACTCTCATGTAAGTAGACTGTCAATCCCACACTGATCTAGCTAAATTTAACTCTTTATTTCCACCCTATTAGGGTTCCACAGTGTTCATTTTCATTTACAGAGCTCAAAGTGATGCTGTAACAGGAATGATCCAGATACTGTATGACGTATAGTGAAAGCAGGAAGGATGTCTTACAAATCTATTCGCTTCCTGCAGACAATAACAGAGAAAAGGAAGCATGTGGAGCTGGACTGGACCTCACAGTCTTGCTCAGATTGGAATACTGTGATTTTTTTAGCATCCTGTTCTGTCAATGAGAGCTTGCGAATCATTATATGCACAGGAAAACACTTGCCTCTGTCCTGCTCATTCCACAGGAAGTAATCTGTCCACTTGTTTATGAATGAACTGTGTGTTCCTTCCTCTATTGCCCTCAAGCTTAGGGACACAGTGTCAGTAACGAGGTGGAAATTATGGCAAAATATTGTAGGTGTTTATGTAATAATTTGAGCATCATTAGGTGTTTTATTATTGATATTTCACATTTGTTGTAGAAAGGAAATAACAACAAATAAAACTGTTATTTTCCTTAAATAATGATTTTATTCATTTATTGCATGTGACTATCTTTTGCAACACAAACAAAAGCAATATTCATCAAGGATATATTAAATGATCTCTCAACAGCATAACAATGAACAGTATGTGACATTTGTACAATGGAAGACACAGCTTGTTCAATTAAACCTGGCAAATATTGAAAATATATTAACCCTTTGATACGTACAAACGATAGATATTTTTATACTTATAGTCGAGATCTTCAAGAACACTGTTGAATATATATATATATTTTAGTTTCAAAAAGCAAAATAAAATAAGCTTTAAAAGTTGGCAGAAAGAAATGTATAAACAGCATAAATTCAATATCTCTGTAAAATCTTTTAACAAATATATTAACATAATATTTATCCATTTGGTTCCACTTTGTAAACTAATCTGATTTGTAATTATTGCATATAGAAAGGGTGAATGAAAGCTACCTAAGAAGCAAGACCTTCTCAAGAATCTAGTAGAATATGTACCATCACATCAAGAAATTACTCATTTAGTCATTTAGTGTCACTCCTTTTCAGGGCTTTAAACATAAAATACTATCAACACATCTATATCAGTGCTATACATGTGTTTTTAGATTTATTAAGATATGAACAAAACATGTTTCAGCAATGCAATGCTTAGTATCTTGCATTTCTTGTTTATTTTCTTCTTAGCAGTTTGCTTAATATTTTAATATAAGACACTAATATATTGCGTTGGATGAAGAGTATTTTTAAATGTTATGAAAATGCTAAGCACATCACAGCTTTTATTTAGTTCACAACAAAATAAAACAGGGAAAAGCAGACAGTGGCTAAAAATGACTCATGTTGTGATCATTTTCTTTCTGCCCCACTAATCAGTTCTCTCATGTAAGTGGGCTTTGTGCTCGACATTCAGATGCGTCATGGTACAATCTAGTTGAATGAGACATCACTGCCTCATATCAACACAGAGTCAATGTGAGCGGATTAAGACAGACAAGCATTAAACTGTTGTCTAGTAATGATGAACTGAAATGAACAGAAATTCTTGCCAAATTCTGGATCCACTAATCTGAAAAACAAAAGTACTCATTTTATAAATGAATCTAATAAATTCCATTAATAATGCTTTTTAAATGATTACTTTAACTTTCTTTGATTGGTGTGACTTTACAATAAGATATTGGTTTCCAAAATGGTTTCAATATTTAAATATAATATATAATGCAGCTCCACAGTGTCAATATCGATCAATGTAATATTTACTTCAAACTAACTATTCTAAACAAACATGGGGCAGATATTTTTGGGCCACATTTTCTGTAGCCAACATTTCTGTGCATCCCTGATGTCTAATACATGTGTTTTTAACTTAATTCACTGGTAACTATGATATAACTGGTAACTGTTAAATATGACTTGAGGCAGAGGAAAAGGGAATGGCCATGTTTTATGTTGCAAGGTGAGAAAGTGGCAACGAATCTAAGGAAACATAAGAGTGAATGACTGACCATATTTGGTCAGAAATATAATATCTATTTGTGTAGTTATTAAATATTATGTGCAATAACCACCTCTGATTAAGTGGTAGGGAACTCTGCATATCAAAAGTGGACTCTTATATAGCAACTTACTATGTAATTATTAAATAAACTAAATATTTAGAAAAATAGAGTGAATACAATAAATATCTTATATTTTTGATAACTTTCTGATTGTTTAGGTCCAAATACGTAGTCACAATTTTGCAGATAGATAGAGTAAGGCTTTGGATTGGTCATATGAGAACATTTAATTTTGAAGAAAAAATTATTCAGAATTATTTATCTCTTCTGAATTGAGTACATCAATACAAGTCTTTTCCCGAAAGAGGACTTGTTGAAATATTTTAGTCATTATCATTTAAAGTTACTAAAATGCCACAAATATAGCTATTCGTACGACAGGGCAAAAGATACCTTACAGTTGTTTAGGTCAGGTAAATAAAGATTACAGATTTCAGGGTAAACTATATTCCAATCATTGTTCTGAATTTGAACAAACCCAAAACAAAGTGTTCACATCAACAACAATAATAAATGTTCAAACATACAAGTGGCATGTAGGTTTCATGACTCTTGTTACCAACAGAGCAGCAGCAGCTTTGCAGTTCCTAAAAAATGGTGCAGATGGTAAAAACAGGAGTAGCATGTTAAAGTGGCCTCACTGGAATAATCACTGACGTTCAGCTTTAGGATGAGGTGTAAAGGTCACAGTTCATTTACAGCAGCATACTCCAGACCAGTTGCTGGTTGAGCTTCCACTTTGCCTCAGTACCAGGAGGAGTAACATCTGCTTCCTGCTCAATCTGAAAGTAAGAGGGAGAAAACAAGAGAAGACATCTTTAAAGCTCTATTTGTATTGAGAGAAAAAAAATGTATTTCAATCATGACAACTCTCTGAACATTTTAGCATGGTGATGGATAGGACAATGTTAATGTATTTGGTCTTGGCAGAACAGATCTGCTACGCTGCTGCTGAATTGCTGCTGCTGTTGGTTATTGCGGTAGTTGTAGATTATTGCTGCTGCTGCTGCAAGCAAGTACAGGAACTTGCTACTGCCAATGCATATGGCGATACGGTGCCATGAGTATTTAAGACATACTGCTGCTGCACAAATAGCATATAAAATAACCCTGTAGCAGATCTATACAGGGGGAGCTGGGGAAGGTGGAGGGTTTCAGAGAACTCTGAAAGCGCGCTGCAGGAATCTCAAGTGAATGCTAGCCAGCCATATAAATGCAAGGCAGTAAGCTCATTGGCTGCATATGCAGCATGAACCAATCAGCTTGTGCCAAGTCGTTTAACTCTCTGAATATCATCAGTTACTTTAACACCCCGTCAGAATGCGCCATCTAGAGTTTCATGACTGAACTGTATATTTGCATTGTATAGAATCCCTGAAGTCAAACCATGTCAAAGCATCTTAAACGTTATCCAAAAGCAGTCTTTTACAATTCCATTCAAATGAATTGGACCCTCTAAGCAAAAATCTGTTTAGACCAGTTACAGCCAAAACACTAAGTTCTTTTTCTATTTTTCCCCTCACTTTTAATTTCAGTTATTCTAATTTAATCCATAAATACAACTTATAAACTATAAAGCGGCTCTTGAATCTGTTCATGGTTTTACTCATGTCTGACCTCAATGGATTGAGTGAAGAAATTATCCTGAAAAGATTTCCATGTTTAGATGTTTTTAACAGCCAGCACAAAGTTTTCCAGAAAGTTTGCTCTGACAACCTGCTTCACACCACCAAAATGAGCTGGCCACATTTAGTTTGATATGATGTCACACCTGTTCGTCCTTCAATTTCACTTTAAGTAGGGCCTTGAGATCTCCTTGTAAAGGCTTGTGTTTGTGTGTGCAGAGTCTTTCGATCTAATGTCTGCCCTTTTGGACTTTTGTTCCCTTTTTGACTTGCATCTAGGCCTCCTTACGGAATGAGACCTTTGTAAGGCCTCACATTACTCCTCCACATTATACACACACAAACACACACACACCTTTACATTTATTTATATAACAAATTTATGAACCAGGAGAGAGAACCACGTCATTTCCAAAAATGTCATTACCTGTTGAATTTTTCAAAATTACCATATCACATACCACTTCACCTTTACTCCAATTCAAATTCCATTTCAACTTTTAGCAGGGTGTGGCCAATTCAGTTCATCTCATGAACTGAAAGTGAGCCAATTCAGTTATGAATTTTGCCTACCCTGCAATACACTCAGCAAAAACACTCCTATTACATGCACAATACTGGTAACATTTCACAGAATATAACTGTCAATGTATATAGTATAGTAATGTATTAGCTTTAACGAGCCAATGAGCAGAAAGGATGCGACACTACAACTGCCAATCAAGACCAAAAGGCTCAAGCTTGCATGCAAGTAGATAAATTAAATGGTTATCCTCCCTGTTTTTTATTCAGCTGATGAGATTTAGGGTTTGCATGATGACAGTGAGCGATGCCTGGGACTGGGAAATAGTCACGCAATGCTGATTTAATGCACACATGACATAGCGTCTCTGCTAGATTGCGCATCACTGGATAGAGATATCACAACACCTTCAACTGTGGAACAACAAGAGGCCAGCTGAGTCCTCTAATAAACAATCTAAGCTGTGGATTTAATAAGGGTTATATATCCTTCCACAGTGATGGGTTAAAATCTAGGTCTATAATCGGCAGAGACACAAAAGCTAATGAAGCTGCGCAAAACCGTCCCGGAAATGTTGTGACGTCTACTTGAGGACATGGTTGTTGTGAACCTGCATGAATGATTGTCTATGTCTGAGTCAATGCTCCTTTCATCCGCCTCAAAACAAGCCGCTGAACAATGTCTAATCCCCCACTCTCCCCTAAGAGTAATCTCCTCTCGCTCCTGGATATATGTGGGTAACATTGACAGTGTTGACATGGCTATCTCAGGCGGGAACATCCCGGCCTAGTTTAGCCAGCTCTGTCTGCAGAGGTGGAGAATCTGAGAGAACTGCTTGGGTTAACAATTTTTGTCGCTTAAATCTCAGCTTGTTTAAAGTTAGAGCTTGGATTAGAGTTATAAGGTCTTGGGAACTGATATTAAGCCCCTCCTAAAAAAAACAAAGAAATGGCCAAATATTCTGTTTAGACTCACATAACTAGTCAAAAGAGTAGTGATGAGGTCTAAGCTTCTTCTGTATTACTATAAAACATGTTTCATATATATATATATATATTTATTTATATATTAATAGTAAATAAATGAAATACTTTTCTATGGTAATTGACTGGTGTTTACATTGTTGTGGTATGTAAGCTGTGAAGTTGTAATTAACCCAGAATCTATCTAAGTATCTAAATGTGTGGAGAGACCGTATAAATAACATACTGGGAAATAGTAATAAATCATTCTATAATTTGACACGAGGAAAGTGAGTGAGAGAGAAACAGAGATCGGGAGAGATAGCCTAGGTTTTGAAAGTGTAGTAGAATAGTAACTAAATTCTCAGAAAATGCACACTCACTGTCCTCGTGCTAAAGTTACACAAAAACACGTGCAAGCTGTTTACACACATTAACATTCAGCCAACTGTATGAATTGTGTCATTTCACACCCTTAAGGAATAGTTCACCCTTGCTGAAAATGTACTCAGGTCATCCAAGATGACTGACATTAACTTATGGACTGGAGTTGTGTAGATTACTTGTGGATTATTGTAATGTTTTTATCAGCTGTCTGGACTCTCATTCTGATGGCACCCAGACACTGCAGAGGATCCATTGATGATGTAATTCTAAATTTCTCCAAATCTGTTTCCATTAAGAAACAAAGTCATCTACATCTTGAATGGCCTGTTGGTATGGCTGGGTGATGTTTCCAGTTTTATTGATTAATTCAAATGTAATTTTTGACAAAAAAAATGTTTTCATCAAGGAATCATAGTTTTGGATAAGATTATGAGAAAACGTTACAATTAGACATATTGGCAATATTTGCATCAGTAATAACAGGGCATCTGATTAACCGCTCATGTGTGATGCGCTCTATAAAGGACCAAAACATAGAACATATCACTATAGTTTCGAAGGGTTCTTCACACAGAAAACCCCAAGAAGCGAGCAGTGGAATAGAAGGAAAACACAAGGTTATGAGATGAAAGCTGAACTTTTTTTTAACTTGTGCCACGTTTAGAAAGCCGATTCATGCGTGAGTCGCTAGAAAAAATATGGAAAGCACAGTGGAATGCAATAACCTGTCAAGGACTACTACTGCATGTTTCATTCATGTTTGCATGATGGTGACAGGCTGAAAGGTTCTGTTATTTTCTTTGTTTTTACAAAACATTTACTGTTAATGATATTCTACTGTAGTTGTACTTTTAGTCTCTTTGAACTTAAATTGTTTTGACTTTTTGGGTTGACCTCTAAACTGAATGTAACTAAACAAATCCTAACTAAATGCTAAGAAATATTTAGATTTCTATTTACAATAGAAATTATTATATTATATTATTTCTATATTCTAAACCGAAATTATTTCTGAACATATATGATATGTTTAAGTTTGTACAATATTTGCCTTCAAATTTCATGTTTCTTTTCTGCAACAATATTTTAACAAGTGAACAGAACTTTCTTTAACCAGATGGTTTTGTATGTTTTAAATAAAGAGAATGATATGTGAATCATGTTGTAGTTACATTTTTAAGTTGACTAGTTGAATGTTTAAAAATCAAAATAGAATTCGGTCAAATGTTTTGAAAAAAGTCAAGATTTAATTTTTTGCCATATTGCCCAGCACTTCATTAAGTTTGTACATTTTCAGCAAATTTTTGTGTGGCCAATTCTTTTAAAGTGATGCATCAAAATTTAAGCAACTGAAAATATTAAAACAACAAAGTTTCAACAAAAGTTTCTGAGGACTAAAATCATTGACTGAAACGATACTTAATTAGCACTTCTCTGATTTTGCATGTTAGTGTTTCTTACACAACGTGGATAAGCAACAAGTAAACATGTCAGCAGGGTGGCACACTTCACTGTGACCAAAAATGACAACAGAGTATGAGAACATTTGTTTGACTGAAATATCAAGAGGAAACTTGTTTCCAAAGAACTTTGACTGGTTTAATCAATCACCAGAGAACAAGATCAACAAAATAATTTAATTACCCAATGACCCAAACTGAATTGACAAAACTTCATATTTGGTTTTTGGCTAACTGAAAACTTTCATTTTGGTTTCAGTATTTCAGTAAAAACATATTTCAATAAAAACAAATTTGTCCAAATTTAAAACATCTCTCCTAATTTCTTCTCTCTCTGCAAACCACTTTCAATCTTTATCTCTCTTTCTATCACACAGGTTCTCTAGCTCTCCATTCCCCCACCCCCTGCCCCTCTCAGGCTGAAGGGACAAGCACTAGCCACTGTCCTGGGGCAGAAGCAGATGGCGTGCTGTCATTAGTGTATTGTCTGTGCTGCTGCCATGCCTGATAACAGACCTGCGGTGAGCAGAGCGGCAGGTGCACACACACACACACACACACACACACCCCTCTCTAGAAAGCCATCTGCCACACACGCAAATGCACACAAACACCTCTAGAAATATGATTCCAGAGAAAAAGGGAGAGTGAGTGAGTGAACAAAAGAGAGAAAAAAAGTTTAATATGTACTAAATGTCTCAAAACAGTTTCTTGGTCAAGATAGTTCTCTTATCTTTCTAACTTTTACATAAGTTGTACACCAAGGTGTTAACTGATTAATACATCTTTGTTTATAACAGCACAAGAGCAGTAAGAGACATTAACAGAGATGTGTTACAAATCCATACAGAGACATTCAACATATACTCATAAATGTTAACAAATTATTGCAAAACAATTCTTTTGACCAGCACTGCTTGTAAATGTGGTTTCTTTTTCTGCAACTATGATAACAATTTTGAATTAATAAAATCGTCACCTAAGCTGTCTGAAATTAAAAACCCATACATAAATGCTTCACAGTTTGAATACAAAAGTGAAAGCATCATTATGTTTGAGAGTCCCTGGCATTCTTTGATGCAAAACAAGTTCTTGTCAACACATTGTATGTGAAATTAAAGCCTGGCAATGAGTGGAGAGAGAGTGAACAATACTAAAGCTCAAGGTGAAACTAAAACAAGCGAGTATTCGCCTCTCCCAGCAACCTTTACCCAGTCAGGCATTCCGAGCGTGAAACATCATCGTTACCTGACAACGAACCACAAACAACCAACTGGCTTGTTTTTCCTCCTGATGAGACATTCAACATATAATCATAAATGTTAACAAATTATTGCAAAACAATTCTTTTGGCAAGAATGCCTGAAAATAATAAAAAATAAATGAAAAGAAACCCTGTTGATTCATGAATGTGTGAATTCTTGAACAATAATTATTTTTGTTCTGCTATTTTTTATTATTATTATTTTTAAAGGTACATCTTTAAAATGTCAGCATCTCAAAATTAAAAAAAATAATAATAATTGTATGGGGAGCAACAGGTACATGTTTACATGCACATAATTTTCCGATTAATGTCTCTCGTGTGGAAATAATGCCTAGCTTTTACCATTCGTAGCCATTTACATTAAGTATTTCTGCACAGTAATGTGCTTGTAAACAGGGAAATATTTTAAACCCATTAGGCGACACAGAAAACCACCCAGGGTGCCATCTCTTTAGGGATGCCAATTTACCAAGCCAATTTCACTTCCTAGCAACATTCTCCTATGCTAAAATAAAGTTTTACTGATAATCCAACCAACGGTGAATCAACATTCAAAAGTACATTAATTGTGAGGAATTCAACCAGCTGGGCATGACCAGCACTGCTTGTAAATGTGGTTTCTTTTTCTGCAACTATGATAACAATTTTGAATTAATAAAATCGTCACCTAAGCTGTCTGAAATTAAAAACCCATACATAAATGCTTCACAGTTTGAATACAAAAGTGAAAGCATCATTATGTTTGAGAGTCCCTGGCATTCTTTGATGCAAAACAAGTTCTTGTCAACACATTGTATGTGAAATTAAAGCCTGGCAATGAGTGGAGAGAGAGTGAACAATACTAAAGCTCAAGGTGAAACTAAAACAAGCGAGTATTCGCCTCTCCCAGCAACCTTTACCCAGTCAGGCATTCCGAGCGTGAAACATCATCGTTACCTGACAACGAACCACAAACAACCAACTGGCTTGTTTTTCCTCCTGATGGAAGCACGTGGCTCAAGCTTCCATCAGGCTCTCTCTTTTCTGCTTTGCCAAGCCGTGGACATGGTTGCACATGTTCATTTCAGACACAAAATGCAAACAAGCTCTCACCCCCACCTCCTCCTGCCCTCTCATATTCTCAAGGCTCAATACTCCAGCCAAGCAAGAGTTAAACTGCTGTGCACTATCCCTCCTCTGACTGATGTTTACACTGCAGGCTACAATGAAAACTACCAGCCATGAACAGTCTTTTTAACCAGTGGGGATCATTTTGGGCCACAACACTGCTTCTAACTGAGGCATTATGGAAATATGGGTGAACCAGATGATGTGAAGTATGTGCCTCAGAACATGGCATGTTCTGTCTTCTGTGTGCTATGCAAAAACAGTGTGCACACGGAAAAGCCCCAGGCACTGCTCTTAAGAGCAGCATATTGTTCCAGCTTGTGACAGCAATTCGATCTCACACACGCCCACATATGATTCAAGTAGGCAAATTAGCACATGCACTTCTGAAAGAAATATATGTCATGTGTGAAGAAGATTTGATATGGGAATAGTTCTTAACCTTATATTAGTGTCCCTGTCAATGGGAAATTTAATAGCATTTTGCTTTATTATGTTGGAGTAAACAGGGCATAACAAAATTCAAAATGTGAAATTATAACAGATCTGCTTTCAGCACTAAAGTAAACGGTGATTAGTTTCTTGGAAAAGGATCGACGAGGCTATGGTCTCAGAATGAAAACACTGCTGCGCATTTGAGCCAAATGAACCTCAAAATAACGTTTCTCTCTCCTTAGTGCATGCTCCATTCTCAGAGAACAGCTTATACGAAAGCCCAACACACTTCAGTCTATAAAAGCCCAGCGTCGATCAAGTTTGGGGTAAATAAACAGGCTCGCGCACCTCTCTATCCTGCTGCGTCATAGTGCCTGCGCAGTTGGGTTATTTACCGCGCGCGGCCACTGAGCTAGTCACGTTTCTCACGCTTCAAATTTCTCTGGAATTCCATTGAATGAAAAACACCTTATCATCGCCATAAGCGCCCCATATACTTACATAAATAGCCAGAGGTGCAAACCTCAATAAATGTTTTGAATTACATAATACTCTCGTTCTGCCCTAATGTTTTAATTACTTTTTGTAAAATTACTGAATAATTTCGATACAGTTGTGTCCTAAATATCCTATAATATTCACTTTTACAATTAAAATAAATACAAGCAAACCTTTAGTATATGGTACCCAGAGACAACTGAAAACATTTTAATACATTTTATAAAGTAATAACACAACGTAATAACACACAGTAACACTCGAATATAATCAAATATAATCTGCTATTGCTCATATAATATTTATATAGTATAGTTAATATATATATATATTTGATTTGGATGTGCCTATCTAGAAGCACTGCAATATTTAAGTAGCATTTAATTTGCAATTATACAGTAATAAAGGTGACTTTTAACCACACAGTCAACAACACAATGGCATCAACCATTGTTTATTTCAGCCATCTTTTCAAATGTAACAGCCCATCACATCATCTGAACTCACCTTGTACAGTGGTAGCAGTCTCTTTGAATCCCAGACACACATATGAAGTTGCATGTAATCCATTTATTCCTGCTTTGGAGCAACCACCAGTCTTGAAGCCCACAAGCTCACAATTGCCCATCTCTTGTTTCTCCATGCGGTTTAAGGCAATGTAGTTAAGTCCATTCCGATAACTAGCTGAAGTCTCTCGGCACATGGGAGACCCATACTCCTCATCAGAACCTTCACTGCTTCGGACAGAGATGTTCTCGACTGAGGCAGAGCTGTGGCGCTTAACATTGTGTGCAAAGGAAGGAAAGACAGGTGCAACTGTGGTGGTGGATGAAAAGGTCTCAGAGCTATGCCGTCTCCGGCCCTGAGGGTCTGCTCGGATCACCTTCGCTCCTCCATTTGGGTCTACAGAGGAGGCAGCCAACAAGAAAGCACCAATTCCAGTTGAAACACCCTGGTCGCTTAAATTAACCCTTTGAACCCTGCTAGTGGGGCTGACTGAAGCATTCTCATCATTCTCAGTCAGGAATGGAGGTGAGATCTGACCACTGTTGAAACTCATCTCAGTGTAGTTATCGTTACCTGTGCCAGATGGGCATGGTAATTTCCTCTGTTCATTGAGGAAAAAAGCCCTCTCATCAGGTGGGCATGGGCATTCAGCCAGCTCTGGCATTCCATCCAGGGGACTGCTGAGTGCTTCCCTCAGTTTAGGAGAGTGTGAATTCTGGTTGAGATTCATGTAGTCTGAGAGGGGGGATCCCTGTCTGAGGTTGGACAATGAGCCTTGGCTTTCCACAGAAACCATAGAGGGAGAAGAGTACTGTGTAGCAGCAGCAAAGTCTATGTTGATGTACTCACCAGGGCTTTTAGGCTCACAAGGGAGAGGATGTTCTGTCATGCTGGGAAGCATCCTCAGAGTGTCTAGAGATAACCTATTGGGCCTGTTGACTCTTGCTCTATGTGCTATGCCATCGGGGCGACGGAGAGGGGGCAGGGCAGAAACCCTGTTTGCCTCTTCTGTTGGATTTTGGCTCTGGGGACTCATCAAAACATACTGGTCATCCTCTGCCCGTTTAGGTGCCTGTTGCTTGTTGAAGCGAATACTTAGAGATGGGGAGGGCCGTTGTGTTGGTTCACACTGACCCAGCAAATAATCTGGTGGTGTGGGCGAGACGCATGAGTCAACAGGCGACATATTCATGTATTCTCCACTCACCGCTCTCCCGTCAGAGCTCTCAAGAGAAAACTTGGATCCAGACCACATCTTCATGTACCCGCTGTCTTCTAGAGATCCACTGCTGGGCGAGTTAGTAGTGCAGCCACTGCCTGTGAGCTGGGGATGTAACCTCGGGTTAATGATCTGCTTGGGTGCTGAAATACTCATAGGACTCATGTGCATGTAGTGATCATTTTTGGTACCCTGAGGTGCCATGCCTGGTGTCATAGGCATGTAGCCATCATCACCCACATTACTGTTAGAGCCAACCTCAATGTCCCCATAATCTTCTGGGTATGAGACTTTAGGAGAGGCAGAATTTGTGCTCCGTCCAAAGTGGCTGTTCGCAGCCCTCATCAGCATGTATTCATCAAGTGACGCTGAGGATACCTGGGAGTGTGCTACCTGTTGCCGCGGGGTTGTCAGAGAATACGTCCTCTTCCGGTATGTCTCCACATCCAGCATTTCTCTGCTACTTGGCCACATCTTGTTTTGGGTTGGCCTGTCCATCACCATGTAACCATGGAGCTCACTGGCTTCTCGTGAGGGTGGTGTACTGGAGAGAGAAGAAGGAGTGTCACTCCTGTTTGCTAGGTTGTACCTCACATCCCCTGGGCTAGAACTGTAATCGTCACATGAGAGGAAGCCAGTATCGTTGGGTGACCCAGAAACAGAATCATTGCAGCTGGAGGGTCTGTGTACTGCAGATGAGATGGATCCATTCATACTGATTGAGGACAAACTTAGTGGGCTTACAGCAGATGGTGGCGAGTGGGACATTGTCATGGACATGGACCTGCTGTGATGAAGCAGTGATGGTTCTGATGTCCGGCAGCCCACAGAGACTGTGTTAGATCTGCTCATGTGGTTCCGGCCAACAGTTATCGGGCTCCCATTCTCAGATATTGACATGGAGACAGGCCTGGTCATGGTACCCTCCCCTTCACTTGCTGTGCGTATTCGGCAAGAGGAAAATTTGGGGACAGGAGATGTTGCTGCTGTACTGTCCGTCCTTGACCTCCTCACCAACCCCGTCTGACTAGGGGGTAGATTGTTTAGGTTCCGCCGAGTGGGTACAGAGATGGGATTTGATCCTGATGACTGGCTTTTGCTGCGTGGTCTGAACTCTGACAGCTCTTTCATCGCTTTCATAGCTTCTAAAATGGTCTCATGTATATTTTGTGACACCACAGAATCGTCTGCTTGCATCCACAGCTCTCCGGGTCCAGTAGAAGCAGATCTTCCCACCTCAATGAAGAAAAAGCTATCAGAGTGCCCACATCTGCGTATATTCATCAACTGCAGTGTGACAGATGCCACCTCCGAGTTAAGTTTCACAAAGCTAATTGTCCGACTTGATAAGCACAGTCTGTAAACTCCAGTGATATTTCTGCTCTGCCCAAGTCCCTTTGCTTTAAGATTTACTTGCCATACCTCTTTATACGCGGCATTCACTGGTGTAATCATTCCGTAATTTCCCTCCTCGAAGCCCACCAGAGATGATGCCGAACTAGAAACGGAGCTGTCACACACTTTTCCCTTACTTAATAAATCGGTTAAGTATGCGTGCCAGCTCTCCTGTTCTTGCTCATTCTCCGCAGCAACAGCAAAATACTCGTGCTTGGTATATAGTGCTATTAAATATCTGTGTTTCGCGTCAGCGCGCTTGTTTATGCTCAGACAGGAGTCGATGAATATGACTCTTTTTGCAGCGGACTTGTTTTTCCATTTCTTTTCATTCTCATAGTACTCCAGCCGCGCAGGGAGTCCGTCACTCTGATCCTTCAAAACAAAATAGCGCCGATGTCCGTGCTTTTGCTTCTTGAGGTATCCGCATTTTCTGATGTTGTTTGAATGAATGTTGTTGTCATTTGATAACGCGGGTCCCCCTTTAAGAGGCGGACTTGCCATTCTTGCGTTTAACATTTATTTATTCAGTTTCAAGAACTTTTTATCCATCCGTAGAAAAAGAGATGAAAAGCTGAAATATCGGAGAATTGGATATTTCCGCTCTCTTTCAAAATGTGATGTCTAGTAGTTCGCCGCAAAACAACTCCTCGCTCAGAATGACTGAGCTTAAAAAACAAACAACATGTGACGTTATACACAGCACGTCTTGGATCAGCGAGAGAGAAAAACAGTCATATAAGGCGGTGCGATCTTTTAGAGGCGTGCCTGCCAAGCCAACGAATGGAGTTTCTCATTGGATTCATTGGCCAGGCGAAAAGATTGGCAGTACTTTGACAAATCCGTGACGTAGTATAGGCAAATCCCCCTTTACACAAGCTGTTCTCTCCTCCTCTCAAAACAAACAGTGCTGTGTGCATGACACATCTACTGTATTGCCTACGCACTTCAGTGCTGCAGAGACTTGCGTCTTGTTAACTGTAAAATGTTTTATTATGTCGCTAGCGACCATATAGCCTACATTGACACGTTGTATTCTGGAACTTGAATAAACCTACAGTGTACTCCAAACACATTCGATATGCACACATTTGAGTGTGGGGTTTTTTAAACACGCAATGACGACAAATACAGATGAGCCCTGTAGTTTCAGAATTATAATTTAGTCAGACCCAATGTTCATTTTACACTGTGAAAATACGCACTTGTGGGAGTGAGAAAATGCATATGTCAGTTATTAAGATCACAGAGTCATGCAGTGTATTCTAACGTGTAAACAAGCGTAGTGCGCGTGCTGCGTGTTACATAACGAATATGGTCTATTTTTACTCACTCGGGTGTCCCTGTCTAGCAACAGTGTCTGCGAACCAGCATTAACGTTATTGTACATAACATCAAGAAAAACGCATTTGAATACAGCATTCCATCTAGTTGTTTTTTTCTTTATAGCCTATTAAATGTCTACCATGCATCTCGCATCCGTCGTACATACATGGATTTTCAGTATTGTTTAAAACCATTTACTTTTTAAAGGTGGTCTGTTGACAGATTGTTAAAAGGAATCTGTTGATTTTCAAATTAGAGCCTTAATTTAATTTAAGGAGACTCAGAACTTTCTGGAATGGTTGAATACGATCTGTTTGTTCCAGAAAAAAATGAACTGCGCAGCACGTAGAAGTACAAATACGCCACCCTCTGGCCACTCATAACATACGCATATAAAATGTCAGTTATTAAGATCACAGAGTCATGCAGTGTATTCTAACGTGTAAACAAGCGTAGTGCGCGTGCTGCGTGTTACATAACGAATATGGTCTATTTTTACTCACTCGGGTGTCCCTGTCTAGCAACAGTGTCTGCGAACCAGCATTACCGTTAATTGTACATAACATCAAGAAGAACGCATTTGAATACAGCATTCCATCTAGTTGTTTTTTTCTTTATAGCCTATTAAATGTCTACCATGCATCTCGCATCCGCCGTACATACATGGATTTTCAGTATTGTTTAAAACCATTTACTTTTTAAAGGTGGTCTGTTGACAGATTGTTAAAAGGAATCTGTTGATTTTCAAATTAGAGCCTTAATTTAATTTAAGGAGACTCAGAACTTTCTGGAATGGTTGAATACGATCTGTTTGTTCCAGAAAAAAATGAACTGCGCAGCACGTAGAAGTACAAATACGCCACCCTCTGGCCACTCATAACATACGCATATAAAAATATTACATTGAACTCCTTGCACCGTGGTTTATAGCCTTGCTCACATGTAAAACTGACTTTTGCATTTAGTGAGATTATGAAAGCATTACTGTGGGACCAACAAATGATGGAGTTTGTAGTTGTACCAACACATATGCCTACTAATCTTTTCCTTGGTTATTAAGTGTAATTGCATTTCGCAAAAAATCTAACGAACGTATAAAATACCTAGCATGTGATTGATGTAACTGAAATAGTCCACCATATCTTATCCAGTGGCATAGTGGTTTAATCTGTAGGAAATATTAAATAATGCTTTAGCAGTACTTATTTTAATTAGTCTATATAGATAATAATAATGTATTAAATGAATGAGAATGACCGTGCTGTTTTCCACTCCCATGCAAGAAATGGCGTCACATCAAAGACCAATATGGTATTTATTGCTGACCACTGAGTAATATTTTATAACTGACCTCTGAGATATGCCTATAAACATCAACGTCTTATTTCTATTGCATAATGCACCTGTAAACAGTTCTTTCTTGACAAGAATGAGCATTTGTTCTTTGCTCTCTTTGTGTTCCCTGGTAATGATGTACCTCAAATCAGGTCATAAAATAAAAGCAGCACAATACTTCAGACTGTTGATTCTTTATTAGCATCACATCAAAGACCAATATTTATTGCTGACCACTGAGTAATATTTTATAACTGACCTCTGAGATATGCCTATAAACATCAACGTCTTATTTCTATTGCATAATGCACCTGTAAACAGTTCTTTCTTGACAAGAATGAGCATTTGTTCTTTGCTCTCTTTGTGTTCCCTGGTAATGGTGTACCTCAAATCAGGTCATAAAATAAAAGCAGCACAATACTTCAGACTGTTGATTCTTTATTAGCAAAAGATGTGAGCATATAAGGATTACAAATATTAGATGCAACTGTACACTCTTAAAAATAAAGGTGCTTCACGATGCCATAGAAGAACCTTTTTGTCTAAATGGTTCCATAAAGAACTTTTAACATTTGAAGAACCTTTCTGTTTCACAAAAGGTTCTTTGTGGCGAAATAAGGTTCTTCAGATTATAAAAAGGTAAGAAAGAGATGGTTCTTTAAAGAACCTTTGACTGAATGGTTCTTTGTGGAACCAAAAATGGTTCTTCTATGGCATCGCTTGAAGAACCTTTTGAAGCACCTTTATTTTTAAGAGTGTATGGAGGCTATTTGCCAAATAAGGCATTGTATTTGAAATATGTACCAGTCCAGTTTATCTCAGTTCAATCGAACCCAATAGGAGTTCACTGGCTATGCAGCTCCTCAATTTGTTTCATAATCTGACCCTTAAAGAAGAGTATGGTATACATACAGCATGGCTGATCTTACTAGGAAAGATGTGGGTCCTTTACACCCCAATTCTGAAAAGAGCAGCTGTCTTTTGTTAACACTCTGCCACACACACATGCAAACAATATATGGATTAAATACGCTTCAGACAGATAACTGCTGCCTTATTGCATAGTCCTGAGATTCTGTTGTGCTTGATGTTTTTTGTTGATCTGATCTGTCAGGTCAAGGGGATTGCATCACACAGCAGCATGTGTTTTGAGGCATTAGCAGTAGGCGTCTCTATGTCTGTAGCTGCCAACCGTTCTGCTGAAAGTTGCTGAAGAAGGCATTGCTTGGTCGAGGAATCATTATTTGTTATCAATAAATTATTACATTTTGTTGCTGTGTGTTTATGAAAACTTGCTATGTGTAGTAAACATTTTAAAAGAAATAAGGCCTTGAAGCCGTTGTTAACAGTGATTTTAGAATAGCTAAAGTTATTCCACTACTACTAAATTCACAAACTCTTGCCCTTCCCTTCACCCACTTGGCATATTTCTGAATAAACAATGAACTTTAACCTGAGCCCTGATATATTAGAACAAACAATCTGTTAAGGAAAATATCTGGAAAGATTAGTAGCTTGTTTCATACAGGCCTAAGATTAACCATTGAAAAAAATATTTTTCACATATAAGAATTACTGCTTTTTGTCCTAAGTTTAATGTCATGTACTAAAGAAATGTAATACTGTAACTGTTAATGGGCTGTTGTTGTGAATTACATAGTGCCTAAGGACATGATACAAACAATAATCACTGTTGTAATTACAGTGGATAGCTGTACACGTGCATTTGTTGCTACCATAAATCAATCTGCCCTTTTCGCACTCACAAATCTTACAAACCTGTTCACAAAACTTCCAGAATGTTGGGGAAAGAAAAAGAAGCCATTCACCTTATTAGAAGTTATAGTGTACCATTATAATGATTCTGAAACTGATATTTCAAGAAAAAAAATACATATAGCCACTTTAAATGCATTCTATAACTGAATGTTCAGTGTAGATGGGTGTTTAGGGGAAGAAATTATGGAGCTTTACTGCATATGCTCAGCTCTGGTTCTTAAGTTATTGCTTATACAATATCTGTAATATGAGGTGATTGACTTTGTGTGTGTGTGTGTGTGTGTGTGTGTGTGTGCACGTTTTTTGTGACAAATGAGGACATAAATTTGTATAATGACAAAGGTATGACATAGGTATTACAAGGAGAAGGTGACTTTTCAGGACATTACCCCATGTCCCCACTTTTCAAAAAGTTTGTTTATTGAAAATCTGAAATAGCACAAAGTCTCCTGTGTTGACTTTGTGTGTGTGTGTGTGTGTGTGTGTGTGTGTGCACGTTTTTTGTGACAAATGAGGACATAAATTTGTATAATGACAAAGGTATGACATAGGTATTACAAGGAGAAGGTGACTTTTCAGGACATTACCCCATGTCCCCACTTTTCAAAAAGTTTGTTTATTGAAAATCTGAAATAGCACAAAGTCTCCTGTAAGGGGTAGGTTTAGGTGTAGGGTTGGTGTAGAGCAATATAATATACGGTCTGTACAGTATAAAAACCATTACGCCTATGGGATGTCCCCACTTTTCACAAAAACAAACCTGTGTGTGTGTGTGTG